CATGAACGACGCGCCGCGGCCGGAGAGCGACGACGGCGCGACGCCGCGGTCCGCGGCCCCGCCGCCGGGCTACGCGCTCTGCGCGGACATCATCGCGCGGCAGCAGGCGTGCAAGGCCGACGCGCGCGACGCCAAGCTCGCGCGGCGCGAGCTGCGCGCGGCGGAGCGCAGCGCCGCGTTCAAGAAGGGCGTCATGCGCAACCTGAAGCGCGCGACGCACGACGCGCCCTTCATGCCGACGAAGCACCGCAACGCGCGGCCGTTCGCGTCGCCCCGGGGCTACGACGGCGGCCCCGCGGGCGTCGACACGTACAACGACGCGAAGCGCGGCTTCTACCACTCCATGGACACGAACCACCACGACGTCGTCCACCAGCTCCTCGACCACGAGACCAAGCACGTCGACGCGGTCGACCACCTCACGGTCAACCACGCGCCCCTCCCCGAGGACCGCGCGACGGTGCCGTCCTCCGCCTAATGGTCGATCATGCCCGTGCGCGCGCCGCGGCCACGGAGCGTGGCTTCCGTCGCGTTGACGCGCCGGTCGACGAGGCGCAGGGCCGCGCTCGCCGGCGCGGCGCGGGCGCGTTCCCGGAGCGCGCGCGCCGCGAGCGCGAACTTGTCCCGCCGGCCCGCGCAGTGGTGGTCGACGACGCAGCAGGCGCCGGGTACATGTGACAGGCACCAGGGCACGGGGCACGCCTTGTACCGGATCTTCGGCGGCCAGACGAGGTGCCGCGCCGCGGGGTAGGCGGGCTCGTAGACGGGCACGGCCGCGGCGACGTCCTTGCCGTCCGCGGCGACGTACTGCAGCCCCGTCTGCTCCCAGGGCCAGACGCGGTGCGCGTCGGGGAAGTGGTCGCAGCACGTCGCCGCCTGTGTGGAAATCGACCACCGGTTTGGGACGTCCCGACCAAACTTTGAAATGCTCGAGCTCGGGGCTGATTCTTGGACGAATCGATTGCTCTCGTCGAGTTCTCGAAGCACGGCCAAAAAGTATGGCGCAATCCGTTGAATTACGTTCGCATTGAAGTCGGGTTGAATATTTGAGTTCCACGCAGGTCGCCGCGAGCGCCCACCACCGCTCGAAGAAGTCCCGCGCGCGGCCGAGGACGTCGCGGCGCCAGATGATCACGCCCGCGTTGAGGCACGCGTCCCAGTGGTGCGGGAGGAGCTTCCGCCGCTTCCAGAGCGTCACGCACCAGTGGCCGTGGCCGTCGCGGCTTAACGCCACGGGCCGCGACTCGTCGCCGAAGCCCGGCGTCCGGGCCGCCACCTACCGAGCGCGTCGGTCACGATGTTTCATCGTTTTCCCGCCCGAAACCTCTCGGAAATCGTCACAACCACAGGACGCTGGCCGCCACGAAGTCGCCGAGCGCCACGAGCGACCGGTTCGCGTAGGCCGGCGACACCGCCGCGTCGCTGTCCAGGTAGAGGAAGACGGCCGCGTCGGGGAAGTCGTCCATCGCCTGGAGCATCGCCTTGACCTTGCACCAGGGCGCGGTGAGCTCCGTGAGGCCGTCGGCCGCGACGCAGCCCGTCGGCGGCACCCGGTAGTGCACGTAGCGGTCGCCGTGGCGCGCCGCCTGGCGCGCCGTCAGCGCGGCCGACGCCCACCACCAGCTCTCGTTGCGCTTCGCCGGCGCGACGTCGCTCGGCGCGCGCGAGTCGCTCTGCACGTAGACGCCGTAGCGCTGCGGTTGCTGTTGCGTGGTGGTGGGGGTCGTCAGAGCGAGGAGGAGCAGTTGTCGCAGCAGTGGCCGCATGGGGCTGCCCTTTTCACGCGGCCATCGGCGTCGAGAGGCGTCAAGGTCCCTGATGGTGAAGAGAATGGTGAAGCGATCTTCTGAGCCCCGATGGGCAGAGCCCGCGCGCCGCAG